TTTTTATATGGTATTACATTTACAGAATTCTTTCTTTCACTTTTTGAAATGATAGTAGTAGGTACAAATATACAGTACCTATCGACCATACATTTTTTTCTTTTCTTATATTGTAAATATGCATATATATTGTATATGTATGTATGCAGAGACTAAACCTAGGAATTTTGAAGAGCACTCATGTCTTCGTAATTTTAAAAAGTTTAAATAATTGTGATTTAGTTACACGATTGAGTATTACAACATTGCACTGCACTCAATCAGGTACGTTATTAACTATGCGGTCTTATTTATTTACTTAATAAAAATGTTTAAATAGACATAATAAAGAATGTAGAAAATTTAAAAAGAATAAAAAAAAGTTTTTATTCTTCTACCGGATAAACGTTTTGTTGTTAAGGAAAAAAATGTTGCTGTTGTTGATGTTTGTTCGTAAAAACAATCCATTTTATTTTTAACCTACCAAGTTTCTGAATATAAAACTGGATGGAATCCAGGATGTCTTTCGCTTACCAATGAAGATACCTATTGATAATCATATCTTAGTAATAACTACTACGAGGAAACGGCAAGAAAGACAGACACACATAAAGAAGTATATCAATACACATACTTTAAGACAAATTCAAATAACCTTCAAGTATACAAACGAACATTTAAAGTTATCATGATCTCTATTGGTAATCTATACTAATATTATCAAAAGGTAAAGTTTGTGAGGTTGTAGGGGGTAATCTCTTGATCTACTGAACCGATTTAGATAAAATTTGGTTAGAAGCTAGTTTGAGATCCTGGGGAGGACATAGTATACTTTTTATTCTGAAAATCATCCCTTAAGGGTGTGGAAATGGGGGTGAAAGTTTGTATGGGGAATCAACCTAGGGACGAGCCCGAGCGAAGCGAGGGTGAGTTGCTAATATTAAATATGTACATTCATTGAACACTAGTATAGTATTAGGTCAACATATTGGATACTTTATACTACGGGAAAATATCTCATCTCTGAGAAATCTATACCGACCATTAAAACGTACCTAGGGACGAACCCGAGCGTAGCGAGCGTAAGTCGCTAGTATTTTATATGAGGTGAATATAAAGGAACTTCAGTTACTAGTTCATTCGTTTTTATTTAATCTTTGAATGATATTTCTACTTAATTTTGTTGAAGTAAAAAATCTATCTATTTAAATTTTTAGCAATTATTATAGGTATGATTTTTAATCAACGCTATTATGAATGTAAATCTCTCTTATGTCTCTTCCTGTTAGTTATTACATTGATAACAAAATTTATATTTATTTTATATTTATTTTACGTTTCGGGATATTCTTAGGTTAAATTAATTGTTGTTTATTTGATTGAATTTTAATATTCAACTATATTCATGCATAGATATAATTAATTATATGATATTTAATTTTATAGAAATACGGTCAAATTCTTGAGATCGGTCTAATCTGAATGGATTCTAAGGTAGAGCAACAATAGTAACGTTTAGTGAATAACTAAGGTTACTTTACTTAAGGTAGCTATTATTATATAGGAGCAATATCGATGCCACATCCACGTTGTCATGTTTGTCGCGGGTGCGCACTGCGCAGTGCTCGCAGAGTGAAAGTGGCAGTAAGCCCCTTGGCTCTCGGCGAACGAAGGCCGAAGCTCGTCGATCCAACTAAATAATATCCACCGAAACCACAACGAACCAACGTTAGAATGATAAGTTACACTATTCATTATTAGCATTTGTTACTGCTGAAACTAATTAAAATTTAACACACGGCCATGTACATAATATATATATATATACGTATGTACTAGCTACGGGCGGAACGTAACTATTTAGAAAAAATAAGAGAAATAGAGAAAATCCATTACGTATTTATTTTTGTACCTAAATATCAAAGTCATGGTATGCTATATAATTATAATATTTAATGAGGTACATTATTGTTTAAAAGATATTAAAATATAGGCAAGCGAGTTAAAGACTGTAAACTATAATGCATCTTTAATAATACTAATCTGAAGTAAAAGAAGCACGAGCAGTAGGCTAGTAGCTACTAAAGTTGTTTTGAGCAATATATTTGTGGAATACTTATTACTAAGAGAATCCGGATATAAATAAATCGTCGAGTAAGAGCGTTTGCAATGATCATGCATGGTAAGTGTGTTAAGGTTGGCAATTATTAGTAAAAAAATTTTTTTTATAAATATCACTGTAGTATCCTCTATTTGTTGTCTCTATATTTAACTAAGGCTATGATAAATGTAAATTTTATTTAAAAAATTATAAAAAATCAGAATCCTGTTATAAATATGGATTAAAAATCTTATGCAGTAATAAATATAAGCACGTTCGGTATATTTGAATATATTAATTAGTAGGTACAATTAATAATAATAGTAAAAAGTTCTCTGAACGTAACAGCCCTGAAGCTTCAAAGCGCGACGGCGCGCGTTCGTCGCAATTACCTCCGAGGCCCGCGGCGCATTCCGCTGGACGTGAAGCCTAATTAGCCCACTAGCGATGAGCCTTTGTCTAACAGTTCACCTTGCCTTACGTACAGCTTTTAAATGCTGATCGTTTCTCGTTTCGCGTACTCGACCTTCTGCAGAGGACGTGTCCCTTTTGGCACAAAACGTCGTTGCGTATTCGACCGATTGCGTTATAATTTGTGTGACCTATAGACACAGATATTTTTAATAGATTTCTACTTCCTTTACTTTTCTTACACTACTTCACTAAGCTAAATGGAAATATGTACATTCCAGGGAAATATTTATATGTTGATTATTTTTAGAAATAATTGCTTATTTGATATTCTTTATATAAAGCTCTAGTGTTCTTATGAAACTTTTTGCAACAGACAAATATTACATGGAAATCACTTAATAAATAAAGTCAAAAAATAAAAAAACAAAAATCAAGAATGTATAAAAAGGGTTTGTGTAATAATTATTTTATGGATGCGTGAAATAAGAACAAATTAACAAAGACATATTGATTAGGATAGTGCTTGACCCTAAGATGAGATATTCCTTCCAGTAAAAGATATGATTAGAACATTTTTTTCTTACTATGAATACATTATTTGAATAGTAAAACTTTATTACAACTGTATGTAAATTAAAATTCCACTAATGATGCGTCACTTGAATAATTAGTCAAAATCAAATTAAAAATCAATACACACGTGAGTAGCGTAAAGCAAACTTGTCTATATATATGTAGATAGCGGTCCTTCAGACGAACGTAGAGCAAAGCAAACAAAGAGCTTGAGTTGAGTTCGGAAGCCGATCCATGTTTACCAGCGCTGCGTAAACGACTTCTAGCCTAACTGTTACGTAAACATGTCGAACATAGTGCGCAAACACCGGCTGCACTGATCGTTAAAAATAATATTTATTCTGCTGCCACGAACCAACACTCTTTTTAAAACTAATGAGTTATTCGAAACAACATAAGCGAACAAGCAATGAATAGAGATTCTCTTCTTATGCATCACGCACCATGGACTCATGGAAAATTAAGTCGGGAAATAACGTGATTCGCTAAGCTTTATTTTACTTGGAACGACACTTAACAAATACCTAAGCAGATAACAGTACCTACCTATGTCCTTAATGAAGACTAAATTAATATCATTTCCTTGACGCATAAAACATAATGGACATAATTGTGTACAGCAAAATAACGAATAATAATCTAGTATTTTCACTTTATATTTTGTAGTTACCCATAAATACTGAACCTATTAAGAAATACACACTATTTAAATTTCATATCACATCTTTTATTACCTCACCCAAATGATAAGCGATCGCGTTACGATTATAAAGCTCACGTTTACCTAACATACAGTTTATCTTTAATCTATGTAAGAAGTACGGTCTGGTTTATAAATAGCCCGCGGTGAAGGCAGGTGCAGCGCGCGGGCAGACGCGCGGACGCCGTGCTTCCGCGAATCTGACGACCAAACATCGCAAGCAGGATTGCAAACGTACTCTTTCCATAATACCGTCATCCTCTTAAGGAATAACCGGGTTGGTATTTCAACAAATTACATTGATTACCTTGGCAGATAGTTAATTACGAGACGCAAGTTTCTTGAGCAATGAATGTAAATAAAGTATTTATATCATCACAGTATGCGCGAGTTCTGAATATAAACAAGTTGCTGCACATGGAAAATAATACTCGAGCGTTTAAAATATAAATGGAAAATTGTCAGTATTGGTCAACATCAAATAGCGATATGTAAATTGGAAACTAGTTATACAGATGTCTAATGCTAGGCTTACACTATACCTACTACTACTGTTTGAGTATTTACGTCAACATAATATCGCTTAGAATAAATATGTACTAAACACCTCGAGAAGAATTTTGGAGAAAAAAATATAAATAAATCAAATATCAGTTTGTATGAATAATTAATATTACTAATTACGAGTATACAAAGAACATAACAACTTTAGTGATACCATTGAAGATTTTATTTCTTAGATTATATTTCTTACTATAATTATATTTTCTTATTAATGCAGACTTAATAAAACTAAAGCGAAGAAGCCAGCAGTTTTAGTGCGGTGGAGTGCAAGGGCGTCATACTCGTCCTGGTAACAGGAAAACTGAACCAGATATAAATGGAATCCTGTTTGTTTATGTAGTTCAATCCACTCAGTTATATAGAACAAACAAAAATATATTTTATTCCATGCAAATAAACTTGTTGTTCATATCTTAGTTTAGCTTTTAAATTAGATAATATAAAATTGGATATAAAATAAACACTTTTTTGAAACATAATATTTACTATGAACTTAATAAAATTTTATGTATAAATGTCTATTATAATTATGATAAACATCACCTTGAAGTAAATTAATAACTAAGCAGCATTTAATTTTATTCCCAAAAAATAAGAAATAGTTTATTGACATGTTTAAAAATGTATCAAGAAGAATTAAAAGAGTTAAAATAAAAACAACGCACAAAGATGCATGGGTGTTTTAAATGGAAGGATAGGAACTTCGCCATGATGCTACTCCCAATACGGAATGCATTTGTAATGGTAATAATTTGTATCAGATCAGCTAAATAAAAATAGGATTAAAGATTGACTGGTAAATACATTTGGATGGGAATAATGATAGGCGGCTGGTAGACTATAGGGCGCCGCGAAACGACGCCGCGCCGCCTGACCGTGTCGCATTACGTATCACACATACTGCCTTCAACGCCAGTCAGTGGAACAAATATTTAGACTTTAAGCGCGGACTAGGCTTTAGTTTAATTATTAGACGTTATTCCTGCAAATTTAATGCAGGGATTTTTTTCTTTAAGTTATAAAAATGCTAAATTATTGCACAGATAATAATATAAAATATAACGCCAAAATAAAACCTATAATGTACTTTTAAAGAATGGCAAATGTGGACAAAGCGACATGAGTGATAATGTAATGTTGCCATTTTATCACGATCCATGCAACGGGTGAGCATTCATTTTATATTCCAATATCAACTGGCCCTTTGACCTATTCCAGTTGACTTGCTCTTGTGTTAGTTAAAGTAAATATTAAGTATATATCGCCTTTTTGATATGCCGACATAACTCATATAAACATTATCATAACATCTGGCAAGGATAGAAATACTTAAATCGTAAATTATACCGTCGATATCTAAATAGAAACTTGAGGTTAGCATTAATTATGTATATTGTGAATATGTTACAGGTTATTAGCGAGTCTGCACAGGTGCTGGATGTCCTCGGCGACGGTGTGTCTCTCATCTCGAGTTACCGTACACGCACCCACCTGCGAGCTGCGAGCACCACCAACACTTGCGTCATTTACAAGTTACAACTTTAAAATAATAAAACTGGTTTCGATTGTGATCTATAAGAAGGTGGATCGACGATTAATGTTCCGAACACACACCTGGCAGACCCCGTGCTGGCACGACACTCGATACCTTTGCGACCGGTGGATACTGTTGTTCAAAATCCATATTCTACTAGTAATTATCGACATAACAATCATGAATATATTTGCAAAATGATATATTTTTTGTAAAATAATAGCATTTGCTAATCATAACTCACAATGTTTATTAAATCAATTTATAAGCTTAAAAGGTAAGTCTCGAATTTCATTTAGACCGCGTATTATTATTTTATATATTATGTGTATAGATGTTATTTTCGAGTAGATGATGTCAAATCAAGATTATACATACATTAAGCATATATTTAATTTAGAATATTATATCTACTATCATTTGTAAATGTGAACTTTGATTTTTCTTTGTTTTGTATGTCTTTGTAAATTAATTTACATGTGACGAGGATTTCAATTCCTGACATTCTTTAAATACTAATGTAGTCCTTTGAATCATTATTCAACCTTAGTTGATTTTCCGTACACGTATAAAAGAGACATGTGTTTTTTAAACAAAGAGCGCGGAGCAACGACCTGCCCTTATTTGGTAGAGCCAGCGGGAACGCGAAGGCGACATAATATGAAGAAGATACGTAAGCTGCACTATACTGTACGGTGCTGTGCAGCGAGCGGTGCTTTGTACATTAGGGATAATATTAAAATAACAAATAATCATATACGATATTAACACACATACCATACCAAGAACTAAAAGTACAGCTTATAGGGTAATATAATAAGATTTTACATATTTAATCCTTATTACCACCATCATAATCAATTTTTATTTGATGATTTTTTTGATACTTTTGATAATTTATTATGGAAGTTTCTAGAAAAATGTTAAAATCTAATTTGAATTGTCTATTAGCGGAGTTGACGTGAGCTTCACAGGTGTAGCAGCAACCTGTTCAATCTCAGTATCACGTTACACCAGGTTTCACATTAGGAAATTTATACGACGTCTCGTATGACTACTGACGCTGTTAATTATTATTTTATTGACGAGATAAATTATTATAATTATTAATTGATTCCGAGAATCAAGTGCAAAACAAAGTGATTCATCCACGTTTATTCCCTTGCGAGACGTACTGATGTACACCCGCACAGCAGGGATCGCTGATTAAATTAAGTGACATTTCATTTTAATTCATCGACATAAATCTTACGCATTACGAGTGTATTATCGTAAGGTGCAGGTGCCGCCGCACCCCGACATAAGGCAAAGGTCCACACATATCAGCCAATGCGAAACGACGTCGTGTCTACCTCGGACATACTATATACATACAAACTTGTATAATAATGTTTCGATTATAATCATATATTTATGTTATCTCGCCGCCAATTGACAAGCAAGTTTACATCATTAAGTAGATTTAATTAAAATAGAGGAAAAGATTATGTTTTCCTACATGCCATATTCTTACAAAATAAAATACTATGATTATATAATTTGTAGGTACGTCTCTTTTTTCTCCCCTATTCTGCGCCATTGCTCGTTGATATTTAACAACTTTTGAAGAGATGCACTAAGGAAGTTTTAGTTTTAGTCCCAAAATAAAACACAAAACCAATTTAAATTAAAAGTCTAATTATGCCGAAACTATTAAACATATTCAATTTGTAGAACAGTGTTATAATTATTCCAAGTTATATATTCAATTGTGATTATATAATTACTATTGAATATAAAATAAATTGACAACAAAAAAGATACACTTATTTCAAAAAAATTAAATTATTCCAATTTTAATAATAAATCTGATGTATAACATATTCATTAAAAAATAATTTTAAAAATCTAATTATAATCAAAATTGGCGAATATCGCGTAACACTCACTCATTGAAGTCGGTTAATAAATCACGAGATTTGGTTTCTATTGCAACGTTTATCCTCAACATCTCTAAAATACATTTTTTTAAATTTAAAATATGGGATGATTCTGATTTTATATTATGTACATAGGTATCTCATATTTAACGCTAAATGTTATATGCTGTAACTACTTATGTATGTATATGTATATAGTAATTAATAATTTTAAATTATTAACGATTGGTTACACCAAGTATGACATACCTGAGCTCCGTAGTGCGTTTCTATTTTGCAATAAAATCAACACTATTATACACCACCAGTATGCCAGTACACAACTTATTAACATAAATACTTACGGCTATATAGCGATTCATGATATTTGTACGTGGACTTTGCACGTGGCAAATTAGGTACATTTGTTATTACCTGAGTTACGAGAAATAAAACTGTTATACTTCAGATATATTAGTATGGACTCTAAATAAAAATAAGTAACTAAATTATACTGTAGGAAATCAAAATAACCTGTGCTTAACCTCTCCAGCACCTTAGAGTGATTGATAAAATAATTTCCCAATAATATTCAGAAATTATTTTAATATATCTAAAATAAATAGATAATAATAATAGACCTAAAAGAAACATTTTACATCATAAGCTTATTTGTCAGTACTCTACCCTTAGGAGTAGTTTTTATTTTTAAATTGAGTATAGTAAGCGCGTAATATATGTATGTAAATATATCCGTCAGTTTCATTAAATCAATTAAGTATATTAAGTTAATTTCATTATTTACTTTTTTATGTTAAGTTATTCTATTCTTTTTTTTCACAAGGTTTTTCTTCAGAATAAAATCGAGCATTTAATGTATTCTTCTCGGCTAAATCCTCTAACCATCAGAGAAAGCGCATTGAAAAAAGATAAAATTAGAGTTTTGCTATCGTGAAAATAACAATATAAACACTATACCTATGGCAAACATTTTTGATATAACCGAAATGTGCTATCAAATTATTATTTAAGCATACCTCTAAGTATAAATATGAAACGTCCTGTAGACTTTTAATATATTTAAAGTGCATCATAATATGTAAATCTTACAAGAAAGCTATTTACAGAGTAAGCAATATAAAAAAGATGAGTATACATTTAATTTTATCTTAACATTAATTAATAAAGCTCTAATAAGAGCTTAGTTATGGATGAAGTGTAACATAGACAGCTTTTTGTTCCGGTACTTCCAATGATTTAGTAGCTTATTAAGCTGTTGCAAAAAGTTATTTAGAGTCGCTGTGATAGACTAATAATAGCTTAATAAGCTTTTATTTTATAGTCGCTTGAGTATATGTTGAGTATTGTCTGTAAGTATATGTTACCCATTATTTCATTATTGTGAAAATCTCAAGATGATTATTATTCGTTTTTGCGAACTACATGAAGACATTAGAACTATCTACCTAAAGATTGTACCTTTTAAAGTTACAACACATTCAAAGCTATGCAGGGAATATTTAACACTATGATTATCTATACTATAATAAAACAGTAGAGGTCGAATATCTGTACATAGTAAAAAAATGCTAAAAACCGAGTCAGGGGGATGTAAGAAGACAAATAGAACAAATCCAGATTTTTTAAAATTTTTTTTCTCTGTCTGTCTGTTTGTACGGGCTAATCTCCGAAACTGTTAAACCTATTTAAATGAAATTTTGCATGGTGGTACCTAATATCCCCGGTCAACATCTTCGATAGTGTTTATCCCAGAAAATAAAAGAGTTCCCGTGGGATAGTTAAAAAATTATAGTATGTTATACAGCTTAGTACACAAAAACTTATGCACCTTTTTTATTAACGTTGGGAAATGCATTTACGCACGAGGTGTGGGACTCACCGGCAAAGCCAGTACTACCCACTAAAACCCAACAAAACCTTCCCCCGTCTTAATGGGGTGTCGCAGGACCGCTTACGCATTCAACTACGACGCCCCGACGGCAGGTCTGCCGAAGCAGACCACAACAACCACGGGGTTGCTCCACAGTCCACTCTGCTATCAGAGAAGTACCAGGAGCAACCCGCATGGTACACTGCCCTCCGAAGAGGGCCACCTCCCACCGCCCACCGAAGTGGGCCACCTCCCTGTGCGTTTCTTGGCTTCGCGCCCGGTTGGGTTGCCGGGCACTACTGAGCCCCCCCACCACAAGGTGAACGCACGTTGGGGAGGGGGGAACAACTTATGCACCTAATTTAGTAAAATTTAACATTCTGATACCTCATATTGCCGGTCAAACAACAGATTACTTTTCATCCCGGAAAAATGAACGGTTCCCGTGGGAACAAATAGATCTCTATTAGTGTTTTTGTAGAGGCGAACCCGAGCGAAGCGAGGGTGAGCCGCTAGTGATATATATAATATTTGTATATCGACTGTATGCACGTAAATAGGCAAAACAAAATAGTAACATTCAAAAATAAGAAGTTATAGTAGGAGATCCCGATCTATGTGGTGTGGTCTCGCTCTTTTTGCTCATATTTTCTCCCGATTTATTTATTTTTTTTAAATATAATTGTTTTGTTTTAAGTACAAGAACTCTTTGCCTGTGACAAATTAGTATCAATCGAAAGAAAAAAACTTGTAGAAAATGCTATCATACGTTTAGCGGCTTTTTCGAACACATTACATGACATACCTGTAGTATAAACAGATAAATTGAAGTAGTTAATTAGTTGTATCGTTTTCCCGAACGAACCAAGTATCAAAATGTAGATAATTTTATAATAAATTTAATCATATTCTAATGTTGCCGTACCAAAACATCTTCAGGCTAGGGGTATAGTAAAAAAAAGTCTGGAGCAAATTTTTGGTAACAACCCCCCTGGGTCATGTTTGTCAATATGTTTTATGGTTTAAAAGATATATATCGTCTGGAAATGAAGAGTTCACCACATAGATCTGGAGCTTAGGCTATTACGGAAGGTAGTGATTAAAGAGATAAAAAAAAGTGTGTGTGTGTACTTATGTACGCACGTAAGAAGTTATACTTCTTTGTTTTTTTTGAGCATTTAAATAAAAGCTTGTTTTTTTTAATGTTTTTACTTTTTTTAATGTTTTTTTTCAGTAACTTTCATTTGATATCCATATTATGGGGGTGCTTAAAAAAACAATCAGCCATCTTTGGAACTCCGTCATATTAGATTTACAATGACGTCACTTTGCTTATAGCGTTTCGCTCATCAAGCCCTTTCATTTGATATCCATATTATGGCGGTGCATAAAAAAAACCGTCCGCCATCTTTGGGGGTCTGCCATATTGGATTTACAATGACGTCACTTTGCTTAATAAAGTGCTCATTATAGTTTCATTCATCAAGTCGTGTAGGTACACAACTATATAGGTTATAGAAATATCGGAATATATATATTGCATATATAGATATCACTTAGCACTTTACTAAAGGGAGATTTAACTTTTACTAACTTCATATTGTAGTCTAAATCTGTCACATTGAAAAAAATCACTCTCATCATTAATTTTTTAGTTTTCATAACGCACCAAAAGAAGTATAACTTCAAAAATTAACAATTTTTAGATATGACATTAATGGCTTTCCAGGGTTCCTAAGGGAAAACAATTTTATAGCAAGTGGAAATAGTCTTACAAAAAGATCTTTTATAAAAACTACTGAATTTTCTTTGATATGCTCTCATAATTTATAAAGATTATTTATTCTGAACACGAATAATTAATGTTTCATTTCTCAGACTAAAAAACTCGCGGATTAATTGATACTTTTCTTATTTTTTTAAATACTGGAGCCTACACAATATCATAATAATCGTTAAAAATGACATCATTATCATCACAAAAAACGAATCAACTTAATAAAAATTATACATTCAACTTTGGTTTACAATGTTATGATTAGATTTTAATATTGGTCAATGTTTTATCTCGTTTTCATTCGCAGGCCACAGTACCTACATGATAAAATAATTTTAATCAAATAGTATCTTTAAAACGTAAGCGAAGCTGTGGTGAGTCACTAGCAGACCCTTTAAAGTGTTAATGTTTCCTAATAGCTTACTAACAGCAGGTGAAAATTGAAGTCATAGTGTAATTATTGGCAAGTTGATGCTAGCCCTAACAGTGGGTCACGCACGCGCAGTGCAGTAGCGACCTTGCAACGGGCGCGGGTGCGGTGTAGGGTTTCGGACTTGCGGCCACATTTCTGCCGCTCGCCGCCGCTTCGTCGCGCGTGCGGTTCATTTACGAAGGAATGCCCTCATCATTTGATAGCCTGACTTAACATCTGATACAGTCTCGGCCACATTGCTGAGACGCCATGGAAGCAACCAATGTAACCGTTCAAGAATCCATGAGAGTTTTAATACTTTATACGCACAATCGGCTAACAAACTATCTACAATTCTACATATTATAAATTATTGACTTTTAACCTCATTGTGTAATAGGTACTAGTTTTGAGTAGTACTCTGTGTTTAGGTTTATAGGTTATTCAATAAGTCTTGTACGACAAGATACATTTATTTTTAGGATAGCAGTAAAACTAAAGTTATATTTATAAAGTGTCATTATCAACAAAACATTAGCAGTTTGTTTGTTTTACTCTACGATGAATTACTATGAAGATTTTTTTATTAATTTCGTTATGGCGAAACGTGATTATCGCGTAATTCTGTACAACAATTTCAAACGTGATTAAAACAAACAAGAATGTCTGGATGAGATGATCTGTGTTTGGTCAAAAAGTACCATCCATGAGGAATATAAAATGCAGCTATCTGCATTTCAAGCGAGGTGAATTAGGATTGGACGATGATCGTGGACCAGGTAGACCCATCGAAGTGACAGTGACAAAAACGGAAGCTTATGTGGTGACAGGCATATAACCTAGCGGCAATTAGAGGAGCTTTTGAACAACTCTGTATCTACGATATACAAAATTGTGACTGAATATTTACATGTAATAGAACCTTTTACGCTTTGGGTTACTCATACGTTAAAAGTGCAGCAACAGCAACATCGCGTCGAATGTTGCAAATTTATGTTTTCATTATCAAATAAAAACCAATAGCAAATCTAAGGACGTAGTTTCGATTGTGGCTGGTGACGGAATTTGAATAATTTATTACGATGTATCTACTGAATATCAAAGTAAAATATGAGTATTTTATTATTAAGAGCAAACAACTCAACCTCGAAAATCAAAACCTGTTAGCAAAAGAATGATGGTGGTTTTCTTTAATAAGCAAGGTATTGTCATATCTGTTATGCTCCCTGGACAAAAGACAGTAACCAGTTCAGGGTACACTAAAACCTGTCTAACTCTGTTCTTTGAGGTATTTTTGAATCGCAGACCAATCTCGAGACTCAGTTTCTGGTCCCTGCATCACGAAAATGCACTTTATGCTCATAGAGCTGGCGCTACCACGGGTTATTTGACAGTGGCGGGCATCAAGGTGCTGGAGTATTCTCCCTACAGGCCTGGTCTTGCTCCGTGTGACTTCGGTTTATTCCCTTACATCAATACCTGCATGAAAGATCGCAAGTTTTCAACAGAGAAGCAGCCGATAGCCGCGTTCGAAGAAGAATTAGATTTAGTTCCTAGACAAAAATGGGAGGACTGGATTGATGATTGGTTTATGCGAATGTTGAAATGTATTAACAATCAAGGATTACTTTAAAAAAATATAAGTGTACAAGATTATACGACAATACTTATTGAACACCCTTAGTTAAAGCTACTTTGTTTAAAACTCAGCCTGAGCACATAGGTCCACGATGTCAGATAGTTATCTTTTGCTTTAACAGGAGAATAAAAAATAATTAATTTTGTACTTTAATAGAACGAATAAAGGAGGCTGTTGCTATTCATCTGACTACGGACGTCCGGTTTATATGTACAAATATTTAACACTTTTTGGTTTTCTAATGTTAAATAAGTCAGTAAGTTTTTAGGTGCATGAATCTCTATATGCAAAAAAATACCATTAAGCTACCGAGCTGAAAACTTATTCATTTAAATCCCAAACATTTTTAAGTTGAAGAATTTTTGTGTAAGCAATGATTTTTAGGCGCAGGAGTTACTACATGCAAAAAAACAAAACCTTAAGCTACCGAGCTGAAAACTTATTGTTTTAAATCTCAACGATTTTTAAGTTCAAGAGTTTTTAAGGCTAAAAAATTAGTTTTACGTGCAGGAGTTTCTGTATGCGATAAAAAATAACTTTAACCCATCGAGCTGAGCCGAGCTACTTATTCTACTTACATATTTAGTAGTCTATTCGGCCTTTCTTATAATTTATATCTGTATCTTAATATATATAATTCTTCTGTACGTGTGTTTGCTAACCTACTCCTCCTAAAAGACTGGACCGATTTGGATGAAATTTTGTGTGTATATTTCAATAGGCTCCTGGATGGTTTGAAAATACAAATGAACCCAGTAGGTGGCGCTGCAGTCGGTGTACCACTGATCATCTCCTAAACGGCAGGGACGATATTTAATGATATTTTTTGTGTATATTCGAGTGGGTCTCTGCAAGGCTTGAAAACACAAATGGACCCAGTAGTCTTAGAACTAGAAAAGGACCTGTTGCAAAGGTTAACATAAGCAGACTAGCAGAAATCGATGGTTTACTGAAATTAAAAGGTGCAGCGCGTAACGGTTCAGAAACAAAGGCATACCCAACATACTATCAAGAAGTCCAATTAAATTAAAATAAAATAATAATAAGCTATAAAATTGAAAGTTTATAATAGCATATTACCTATAGCTTATACTCGTACATTGTGCCAACTAATCTAAAAAAATATACAATAAAAAGTTATCTAGCATAAGTTGGACTCGCAAAAAGGGTTTCAACGACTAATTAGCAGGTAAATATCGTATTAATTGTTAAATTTAAAATAAATAGAAAAAATTAATTGCACGTTTACATAGATACGTACAACTTTATACCTATATATGGATCTGTTTTTTAGTTTTCATCGATTTTAAATTGTTTTAATAAAATACTATTCATCGAAGATTGATCAGAATTTTTAGAGTTCTTAAAACTAGCTGGACCTAAAATTCGATTTCGAAATATATATATTTTTTCTACTAATGTTGAGCTATGTAAAAACTAGTAGTAGTATATGTATATGCACATAATTGGGTCCGTTTAAGATGTACCTAAAACTTAACTAGGATTTTTCTAAGAATACCTACGTAAATTCGGAACTACACACATTTTAATGTTCTTATACAGATAAAAAAAAATATATGCTTTTTTGAGATTAACCTGTTATACGGCACAAGATATTATATTTGAATTAATTAGAATATTAGTAAATAAATTTTGTCTTGGTGCTACTTCTAGGACTGATATTTTATATGATAATCCATAGTTATTTAATTAATTATCATTTATAGAAATCAGACAGACTAACAAAGGTTATTAATATAAAGCATATGTAGATATGTATGTGATATATGTATATGTCGTAGGATGATTAAATAATTCGATTTTTCGCAAAAACTCTAGGGTTATTGCGAAAACACGAAAAATTAGACAGCGATGAAAACATTACTCAATCTTACTGGAAAAAGACAGGGTTTTTCAAAACACGAGTTGCTCTAGCTCTATTCGTTTATGGCCACTGTTCTAACCTAAATTAACCAACCTAGAAAGAAAGAAAGGATTCGAGTAAGACGTAGCTCCCGCCTTAGCCTTCTCAACCTACGTTATTTATAGGTATATAGGCTTCTAATAGAGGTAACTATTAGTGACAAATTGAGAATATGTATGGTATGGTAATCTATACTATAATAAAACAGTAGAGGTCGAATGTCTGTACATAGAAAAAACATGCTAAAAACCGAGTCAGGGGGATGTAAGAAGACAAATAGAACAAAATCCAGATCTATTTCAATTTTTTTGTTTCTCTGTCTGTCTGTTTGTCTGTTTGTACGGGCTAATCTGCGAAACTGTTGGACTGATTTAAATGAAATTTTGCATGGTGGTACCTTATATCCCCGGTCAACATCTTAGATACTTTTTATCTCAGAAAATTAAAGAGTTCCCGTGGGATAGTTAAAAAACTTTAGTATCTTATACAGCTTAGTACACAACTGCTTATGCACCTAATTTAGTAAAATTTAACATTCTGATACCTTATATTGCTGGTCAAACAACAGGTTACTTTTCATCCCGGAAAAATGAACGGTTCCCGTGGAAACTATAGATCTCTATAAGTGTTTTTCTAGAGGCAAACCCGAGCAAAGCGAGGGTGAGCCGCTAGTACAGAATAATTACTAACTGCTTTGGACACATACTTTTAATAAATATTTTTTGTAATTTCTATCCTTATTCTTAAGGTACAAATTTAACTTCTGTATTAGGTACCTACATGTAACAGATAATTAACGCATATAAAATTGATAATAATTTACTATACCCACGTATATATTAGCAAGTGCGAATGACACCAATCCGTATCAAACAAATGCATCCATTAGAATTTATACAATTACGTCTATTAATAAAACTGATAATGAGTGTAATGCCAATCTTCGATGATGTATGAAGGCGTTCACATACGCTTCGGACGATCCTTTTAATTGTAACTCGATAGTACTTAACCGTGATGACTACCAGAGTAGAGACAGGGTGAACGCCAGTAATTTGCTAGAGGTCGCGAGACCGATTCCCGTTCGAAAATATTGTTAATACTCGTAGTAATACAAGTTAATATTTTTGATTGCAACAAATCAAACTGTCGTTATTTAGGTCTATTTCTAAACGTATACTAAAACGGAGTTATGGTGTGCTGATAACACACCATAACATGCTTATTCAGTTGCGTAGAATAAACATTGAAGAATGACTCACTGTCTCCTATGGGATAAAGCGGGATAAATAAATAATTTTAGTATTATAACTTGAATATTGCATTCTTCACATTTCTATTTACGCATAAAAGGCAAATGCTTATTGATATTCCTCATTGCTTGTGCAAATTGTAAATACATTTAACCACTTAATCTGTTCAAACCGTGTTTAACATATTAAATATTTGCGCTTTATGTAAGCACGTATGTAAATCAAAGATGAATTCTTAGCCTATTAGATCAAATTATATTTATCTAAAGCTGGTGCTAAGATGTATCTTGTTTGGAGTGACATATGTATATACATATAGGTAGATTTAATATTCTGGTACGTACTGGTTTATCCAAGATAAGATGCGATAAATATTTTAACTGATTGCTTATTATAGCACATTATAAAGTAGTTTACGATAATAACCGTAATATGAGCATGCCTATTTTTAGCTGCGATCGTTGCACTGGATGGTAACCGCAAGTGATAAATAATGCAAAATGAGCTTTTCGCGAGACTATTAATGGAAGTTAGAATTATACATTTTACTAACTTTCTAACAAAAAAGTTTTTTTATCCATTCCATTAAATCTTTTCGCAGTCGCGTAATGAAGTTGCAAAAACATTTCTTTAGACTTGATATAAAACCCCTACTTAAGAATACATATAATATTATTGTATATATTGGTATTCACCCCTTTTTAACGTCCCACTGCTGGGCACGGGACTCCCTTCAATACGAGGGGGATCAGGCCATAGTCCACCACGCTGGCCAAGTGCGGGTTGGCGGACTTCACAAGTCTTTCGAAAACTTGCTAGATTCTCTCAGGCATGCAGGTCTCCTCACGATGTTTTCCTTCACCGTATGGCAAGTGGTAATCATATTGGAAATGATTCGCACATGAAGATATCAGAGGTGCGAGACCCGGGATTTGAACCCGCTTCACTCGGTTTCCCAAACGAGCGCGTTACCACTGAGCTATCACTGCCTCGGTATATATTTAATTTATTGATATTACTTAGTAAGAAAATATAAGTTTAAACACGATAAACATTTTATTGCAAAAATAAATCGTAAAAAATATGTCGTATTTAGGATATCGAGGCGTAATTTATATCATCACTCCGCACCTTAAGGTTCTTGTTTGAATAAAATTATGATACACTCATCTACCTTATAGCAGGTACAGACCAGGCTACACATAAGTCCGAAACGAGATAACCAAACTTTTAAAGGGTTCCAAAACGGAGGTCCGCCGATCGATCATTAGAATTTATTTGTTCTCGACGGTGACAAGATGCGGAGCGGGCAGTGGTGAACAAGTTTTGGCTGTTATCTGAAGGTTGCATCAGATCATTCGTCATACTGTCACAAGGGCAAGGCACAACGAAACAATCAAAGTGGCCGCATGATAACAGCGATGGTTATATGATGGCCTGCTCTATCAATGCAACGTGAGCCTAAACAATTTTCAAAAATTAAACATCATTGTAATTTGACAGAGAAAATTTTAATTATTATTATATTAATCTCGAAGCCTTATATTGATCTCACACCTCGTAAGCAATATCCATACTTATAATATATATGTGAAAGTGTGTTTTTTGTTTATCCTTCTTTCACGTCAAAATAAAGTGACGGGTTGGCGTGAATTTTTGTGTGGAGATAGTTAGAGGGCTGTACAGTAAACATAGGCTACTTTTTACCGCGGAAGATTATCTCATTCCCACGGGAAAACACGTTATAATACAACCCAAAAAATATTTATGATCAGAATTACTTGAAACTTGGTATTAATGCTCTTCAATACAAT